CAGATTTATCCAGAGTTCAAGATCTGTCTCTCCAGGAAAGGTAGAACAAACACATCATCTTACAAATGTAGTCAGACCCAGTAGGGAGAGAGAAACACATATAGATTTTTGTAAATTTGGCAAAAGTGTGTCAGACATCATGTGAAATGGTGTCCACACCAACAAATAAAGGAATCCCAGAGACTTCCCTGGTGGTACAGTAGATAAGAATCCGCCTGCCAATGCAAGGGACTTGGGTTTCATTCCTGCCCCTGGAAGATTCTGTGTCCTGTGGAGCAACTAAGCCTGTGTGTCACGGCTACTGAGCCCAGCACCCTAGAGCCTGTGCTCTGCAACAAGAGAAGCCCCTACCCAGCACAACTAGAGAAAACCAGCTCAGCAACGAAGACCCGGAAAAGCCAAAAATAAATTTTTTAAAAAAGGAATTCCATAAGGAAAACCAGAGCTTCTGTGCCCCCACCACTGCGGATTTATCTGTGTGTTCACTTTGGTTGCCTGCCTGTCATGATCAGTTTCTAAGGACTTGACTATGATCTTTTTAGAATTACCAAAATAGTACCCGGAATTTATATAATGCCTTACCCATAAAAGTCATATTTTATTCTCGGATAAAAATCGGTGCTCCCCAAGTGGCAGGGACTTAAAGTACTTAACCTTCGGCCCAGAAAGATGGCTTGCCTAAGAATTCATGAAAAGTTCAGTGGGATTTGCCCTTTTGTAATCAGAAGAACCTGAGACAGCATTTGATGTTTTGGCTTGCAGTGACCTCTCATGGGTTTTATAGCCTTAACCTCTTTTTTTAAATGTAGAAATAAAACATAGATTCAGCAATCATCAGAATGATCAGAAAGCCATAGTAGGAGTTAAAAATTTTTAAGAAATATTTTTGATGAATCTAAAGATTGTCATAAATAGTGAAGTAAGTCAGAAAGAGAAAAACAAATCCCATATATTAATGTATATATGTGAAATATAGAAAAGTGATGAACCTATTTGCAAAGCAGAAAATAGAGACACAGACATAGAAAACAAACATAGATACCAAGCAGGAAATGGGGTGGGATGGATTGGGAGTTTAGGATTGACATATATACACTGCTGTGCTGTGCTCCGTCCTGTCTGACTCTTTTCAACCCCATGGACAGTAGCCTGCCAAGCTCCTCTGTTCATGGAATTTTCCAGGCAAGAATACTGGAGTGGGTTGCCATTTCCTACTTAAAGGGATCTTCCTGACCCAGGGATCGAACCTGTGTCTCTTGCATTGGCAGGCCGCTTCTTTACTGCTAGTGCCACCTTCATAAGCATAAAATAGATAACTAATGAGAATTGACTATATAGCACAGGGAACTCTAGTTAGTGTTCCATGGTGATCTAGATGAGAAGAAAATCTAAAACAGAGGGGATATATGTATACTTAGAGCTGATTCACTTTTCTGTACAGCAGAAAATAATACAACATTGTAGAGCTCCAATAGAAAAAAAGGGGGGAAATACTTTTTGAGACTCTTGATAGTGAGTATAGGACTAGATTATTACCAATGTTATATCTGTTTTGATATAACAAATTAAAGAGCCTCTTGATGAAAGTGAAAGAGGAAAGTGAAAACATTGGCTTAAAACTCAGTGTTAAGAAAACTAAGATCATGGCATCTGGTCCCATCACTTCATGACAAATAGATGGGGAAACAATGGAAACAGTGGCAGACTTTATTTTGGGGGTGTCTAAAATTACTGCAGATGATGACTGCAGCCATGAAATTAAAAGATGCTTGCTCCTTGGATGAAAAGCTATGACCAACCTACTATAAAGCATATTAAAAAGTAGACATTACTTTGCCACAAAGGTCCATCTAGTCAAAGCTATGGTTTTTCCAGTAGTCATGTATCGATGGAGAGTTGGACCCTAAAGAAAGCTGAGCACTAAAGAATTGATGCTTTTGAGAGTCCCTTGGACTGCAAGGAGATCAAACCAGTCAATCCTAAAGGAAATCAACCCTGAATATGTGTTGGAAGGACTGATGCTGAGGCTGAAACTCCAGTACTTTGGCCACCTGATGAAAAGAACTGACTCATTGGAGAAAACCCTGATGCTGGGAAAGCTTGAGGGCAGGAGGATAAGGGTTGCGACAGAGGATGAGATGGTTGGATGGCATCACTGACTCTATGGACATGAGTTTGAGCAATTCTGGGAGCTGGTGATGAACAGGGAAGCCTGGCATGCTGCAGTCCATGGGCTTGCAAAGAGTCGGACATGACTGAAGAACTGAACTGAACTGAACTGATATCTGTTTTGAGGATGTCAATTAGGTGGTGTTGACATTTGATGAAAGTCTCAGGCCCTTTAATACCCCAGTGAAAACCAGGCAGCTTCCAGTAATTATTCTAGCTCACAGGAAACACAGGTCATGGCTTTCATCTCCCAGAATCCAGGCACACGTGATGCCACACCACTGTTGCTTTCCAGTTCATCTTAGTCTTCACCTTTCTGTATTTCCAGTTTTGTGCTGATACCATGATCCACATGTCTTCTGTATTCTAGGATCCAGGCAGAAGGAAAACTCGCCTCTGGGGCAGGCCCTTCTCCTGGCAGGCAGAGGAGAAAGATGAGGGGGCTGATGGAGCGTTAGACTCTTCTAAGGTCTCCACGCTTCTGTTTCCATTAACTGGCCAGTGTCAGTTGGGTGGCCGAGCCTGACCGTGGGTTGGGGAAGTCAGCTGGCTCCAGGGTGGTCCTTGTGGTGCTGTAAGCATGTGATCCACCCATGGGGAGAGGATGGTGAATCATTGAGGACAGTAACACAATCTGCCACAAAAGAGATCAGGAATTTTGAGAAATTGGAGTTTGCCCATCTCAGGCTTAACAGACTTGTCCTTTAGCTTATTCTATAAATATAGTCAAGAAAATCCTATCTAAAATTATTTATGTGTTATATATGGGTGTAGTTTGAGGGAGACTTGCTTTATTTTACTTTACACAGGCATGTCTGGGTTATAGTGTACTTGAGAAGACGAAAAGTGGTATTTAATTAAAGGTTAGGATTGTTGGGGAGACAGACTCGGGCATGAGGAAGTGGTAGTGTGTACTTTTTTTCAAGGTTTTTGGTTTCAGTCAAGCAGCTGCCATTTTGTTTCTTAAAACCTTTGTTGTTTTTGTTTAATCTCTAAGTCTTGTCCAACTCTGCAAACCCATGGACTGCAGCATGCCAGGCTCCCCTCTCCTTCACCATCTCCCGGAGTTTGCTCAAATTCTTGTCCGTTGAGTTGGTGATACTATCTAACCATCTCAATCTCTGCTCTCCCCTTCTCCTTTTGCCTTCGCTCATTCCCTTAAAACATGTCTCCACATTTCTTTTTTCAAATTCCAAAGCAAGAATTTTTTTTATCTAAACTTAAAAAAAATTTTTTTTTTAATTCACTAATATTCCTGAACTGTAACAAGTGCCAGATACTGTGGGGAGATACCCTTGGGTCACCTTTATTTTATTTGGGCTTCATAATGATTGTATTACTGTGATTACAGTTGAAGATTAGAAAGTGGGGCTGGTGGAACTCAGCCAAGGTCCCGAAACTCGTACTATGCAGAGCTGAGCTATCACCCCATTGTCTGACCTCTTAACACTACACATACTGACCGTAATTTTCATGCTCTTTTTCCTCTTCCTCCATTGTACTGATTTAAAAAAAAAAAAAACATGTATTCATGAAACACATGTGGATTGGAAGGATTGATCTAAAATTGGACGGTTCATCACATCTTGGACAAGAGGAATCACAATGAGCCCACCAAAATTTTAAAAAGCAGAGTTGTGGGGAGAGAGAGTGACTGGAGACTAACCGTGGTTTATCTTGGACTGCTAGAATGGAAGTGGGAAAAAATTAAATAAATACTTAGTATGTGGCAAATAGACATACATTAAGTTCTTAAAGTTTCGTCAAGAAATTGTGAAATAGCTGCAGATACATGAGTTATATATAAAAAACATCTTTGTACGAGAGTTAAGTTTATTGATAATCATTTCACTGGTTCTTATTTTTTCAATTATTTTTAAGAGCCCTGTGTGTGTGTGTGTGTGTATAATTTTAGATTGTTAGGACCCACTTCCCCAATATTTATACTGTGTATTGATATTGGATCATGACTTTTCTAGAGTCTGTGGATGGTAGAAGTCACTCTGTTCTTGATTAACTTAGTGACTAACTTTCCTTTTGTTATAATCACATCTGGCCTGTCTTTATTCTTCCTCTGATACCCTTCCAAATTTATGTCAGATAGAATGCCACTTCTTCCTTGAACACCCAGCTCTCTGAGCCAATCAGTGTTTGTTTTTAGCATCCTGATGATTTTTGCCTAAATTTCATAGCTTTGTTACTTACTTATCATTTGTGTCATACTATAGTAATGCCTGTTACTAGGTTGTAAATTATAGAGGGCAGAGCCGCTATGGCACTCATTTCTATGTCTCTTTTTGCCCTGCATGTAATTCCTGCTAAACCAGTTCGTTGTCAAAATCTTATGACTCTGACGCTACATAGATCAGGGTCCACATATCACATGAGTTCATTGCCTTCCATATTGTTTCATATAACTCACTCCACGAGTGATCATTCAAAACTAGTCTTGTCCAATGCATTGTTATACTGATGTACTACCAAACTTCATTTAAGATCCTCCCTTTCTAGCTTCAGGCCGTTGGTGGTTCATTTCTGTCACCTGTGAACTGCCTTCTCCAGTTAACCCCGTCCCATGGTATGTCTCAGCCTCACTAGCCTCACTGAGCTAGATTCCTTACAGTTCTTTCTTTGCAGAGGAAACACATCCATTGATTTTTGTCTAACTTTCAAACATAGTGATAATCCCAGTTTCTCTGGGTTGCACATGTGGTGGTCTGCAGGTGGAAACTTACAAACAGGTGTTTGATGCCCCGGGACCACTAACGTCTGCTTGTGGATTCACTCACTGTAACCCTCTTTTCATCCCTTCCTTGTCTTCCCAACTGCAGGGCCTTAAAGCTGCTGACAACGATCCCACCGCTCCACCCTACGACTCCCTCTTAGTCTTTGACTATGAAGGCAGTGGTTCCACGGCTGGGTCCTTGAGCTCCCTTAATTCCTCCAGTAGTGGAGGTGAGCAGGACTATGACTATCTGAACGACTGGGGGCCCCGCTTCAAGAAACTCGCTGACATGTACGGTGGAGGTGACGACTGAACTTCAGGGTGAACTTGGTTTTTGGACAAGTACAAACATTTGCAACTGATATTCCCAAAAAGCATTCAGAAGCTAGGCTTTAACTTTGTAGTCTACTAGCACAGTGCTTGCTGGAGGCTTTGGCAGAGGCTGCAAACCAATTTGGGCTCAGAGGGAATATCGGTGATCCAATACTGTTTGGAAAAATACTGAGCTCAGTCACACTTGAATTTTACAGTACAGAAGCACTGGGATTTTATGTGCCTTTTTGTACCTTTTTCAGATTGGAATTAGTTTTATGTTTAAGGCTTTAATGGTACTGATTTCTGAAATGATAAGTAAAAGACAAAATATTTTGTGGTGGGAGCAGTAAGTTAAACCATGATATGCTTCGACACGCTTTTGTTACATCGCATTTGCTTTTATTAAAAATATGGAATTAAACAGACAAACCACTCATGGAGCAATTTTATTATCTTGGGGGCTGAGACCATGAGATTGGAAAATGTACATTACTTCTAGTTTTAGACTTTAGTTTCTTGTTTTTTTTTTTTTTCCACTAAAATCTTAAAACTTACGCAGCTGGTTGCAAATAAAGGGAGTTTTCATATCACCAATTTGTAGCAAAATTGAATTTTTTCATAAACTAGAATGTTAGACACATTTTGGTCTTAATCCATGTACACTTTTTTATTTACTGTATTTTTTCCACTTCACTGTAAAAAATGGTATGTGTACATAATGTTTTATTGGCATAGTCTATGGAGAAGTGCAGAAACTTCAGAACATGTGTATGTATTATTTGGACTATGGATTCAGGTTTTTTGCATGTTTATATCTTTCGTTATGGATAAAGTATTTACAAAACAAAGTGACATTTGATTCAATTGTTGAGCTGTAGTTAGGATACTCAATTTTTAATTTTTTAATTTTTTTTTATTTTTTATTTTCTTTTTTTGTTTGGGGAGGGAGAAAAGTTCTTAGCACAAATGTTTTACATAATTTGTACCAAAAAAAGAAAAAAAAAAGGAAAGACAAGAAATGAAAGGGGTGGCCTGACACTGGTGGCACTACTGCAGTGTGTGTTTTTAAAAAAAAATGAAAAAAAAAAAGCTTTTAAACTGGAGAGACTTCTGACAACAGCTTTGCCTCTGTATTGTGTACCAGAATATAAATGATACACCTCTGACCCCAGCGTTCTGAATAAAATGCTAATTTTGGATCTGGTGACTGGTTTGAACTTTTTCTTTTCTACTTGAGATGCTTTGAATGTTTCAAAAATTCCAGGTCCTAGAGTTGCATTGAGAACTGCAGTACAAAAGTATGAATTGGTTCTTGCACTGTTCACCATCAAAAAGCCCTTAGCTTGGCAGCCAGCCGTGTCCGGTGAGCAGTGGAGAAAAATCTGTGGATCTTCTGATCATAGAAGGAAAACATCAAGCCACCCAGGAATCGACTACACTGAAGGTGGTATATGCAAATCACATCAGTGAATTTTGTGTAATTCTTAACATCATTTGTGCTTTTATTCCCTTCCGCTCCTGTTTGTGGTTACGCTGACTCTAACCGGCTCTTCCCACTAGAGCAGGGGTCCCCAACCTCCAGGCCACAGACCTGTATCTGTATTTACAGCCACTCCCTATCACTAGCATTACTGTCTGAACTCCCTGCCTCCTGTCAGATTAGCAGTAGCATCATAGATATTATGTGTGTGAATCATCCCGAAACTCTCATCCCATTCCATGGAAAAATTGTCTTTCACAGAATCAGTCCCTGGTGTCAAAAAGGTTGGGGACGGCTGCACTAGAGCACCCACAGCAGGAAAACCTCGCTAAAAAGTGATAGACTAGGCCCTGGAAAGTGCAATGGATGCTGGGAATTCCCAGGCAATCCACTGAAGCCATTGTTTGATGTATCTAGTGAAATACACTTGGGCTTGACTTCTGTTCATTAACTGGACCAATTTTTTCCCTAACTTTCTTAAAGAGGTATAATGGACAAATAAAATTTTGTATATTGAAGCATACGATGTGATGACTTGGTGTATGTATACGTTATGAAATGATTTCCCCAGTCGTGTCACTCACCACATATATCAGCTCACATAGTTATACTTTGTGTGTGTTTGTATGTGTATGTGGTGAGAACACTTAAAATCTACTGAACAAAATTCAAGCACACAGTACAGTATTAGCCGGTGTGGTCACAGAGGACAGAAAAGCAAAATCACCTTATTCAGTTTCATAAAATTGTTCAGTGCACACTATGGTTCATAAATGAATTTTAAGAATCTCGAAAAATCCTCACTGCTTTTTCCTATATTCCTTATGATCATTATCGCATTACACATACTTATATTGTACACTTTGGAAAAAACTTAATACAGTATGCCTCCTCTAACTCCATGTGGTTTTTCGCTTTAATTTCATACTAGAGAGTAAAATTTACTTTTCTATCAATTTGCTCTGTAAGCAATATTTTCGTCTCACTTTTCTAATCTTTAGATGCCAGAGCTTATCTGTGGAATTTCATAATAAAACTTAGTAAATTTGCTGATTGGAATAGTCTTTTTAAAATTGATATTTAGACTGCACCTCTGTACTACTGTATGTTCAAATGAAAACTGTCTTTTTAAATTCAAACATCTCAACATTTGAAATTCATAGCACTCAGGTAACAAACACTTTCAATTACTTTCTTAGGATTGATGTTCAGTGACAGACTATTTCTAACACAAGGGCTTCCCTGATGGTTCAGTGATAACCCATTTGCCAATTCAAGAGACTCGGGTTTGATTCCTGGGTCAGGAAGATTCCCTGGAGAAGGAAATGGCAATCAACTCCAGTATTCTTGCCTGGGAAATCCCATGGAGAGAGGAGCCTGGGGGGCCACAGTCCATGGGGTCACAAAGAGTCGGACACAACTGATAGACTGAACACGAACGTACATCTCTAACACGGGCAAACCTCGTTTTATGCCATTTATGCCTTTTTATGCCCTATTGGGCTTCACAGATGCTGCCTTTTTTTTTTTACAAATTGAAAGTGTGCGGCAACTCTGCGTGAAGCACATCTATCTTGCCATTTTTACACCACCATTTGTTCAGTCTTATTTCTGTGTCACATTTTGGCGGTTGTTCAGTCGCTCAGTCGTGTCTGACTCTTTGCGACCCCATGGACTGCAGCATGCCAGGCTTCGCTGTCCTTCACCACCTCCTGGAGTTTGCTTAAACTGATGTCCATTGAGTCAAGTTTACCACATTTTGGCAATTTCTGCAACATTTTAAACTCTGCACCAGCAAAAATGATTATCACTCACTGAAGGCTAGATGATGGTTAGCAATTTTTAACAATAATGTACTTTTTAATTAAGGTATGTGCATATTTTAGACATGATGCTATTACATACTTAGTACAGTATAGTATAACCATAACTATATGCACTGGGAAATCCCCCCAAAATTTTATGACTATTTTGATATTCACTTTATTATAGTGGTCTGTAACCAAATTCTCAATGTACTAATTTTTAACACTAATAATAAGCATTTTATATAGACACAATCAGTAAATGTAAACATAGTTGTTTTCAAAACTTCCGTATTTTGCTGGAGTAATGCATGACTAGGTTTCCTTTGTTGAAAAAAAAAATGGGAAACAGAAAGTAGAAGCCCCCTGCTCTGATATAGGAGGAACTTCTATGTAGCTGTTTATTAATGATATGTAATTTATAGTCTTTTCCAAAAAAGCATTTTTACACACAGGTTTCCATAAAGATTTTATTTTGTTTTGTTTTCATGAAAGTGGGATGATACATTATGTATTTTCTGTAACTTATCTTTTTCACTAGGAGTGAATCTTGGAAGTTTTTTCATATTAGTGTATATATCTACCTCGTCCTTTTTAATTGCTATGTAGTATTCCTTAATTGGCCACATAGTTTAGCCATTTCCTAAGTAACTGGTTGTTTCTGATTTTTTTAGCTACTGTAGAAAATGCTACAATCGGTTAATAGCCTTGTGCATGTTTCTCTGCCTGGGAGTATTCTCTAAATAAGATGTTTGGAGATGGAATTGCTAGATTAAAGAACGTGGAGAGTAGTTAATTAAATATGGCTAAAATTATAAGTGTTTTAATGTTACTCTAAAGTGCCTTTTAGCTAAAAGATGATAAGGCTTTCTAAAAGCCAGCAACTTCCTTCTTTAGCAAAATGATTTTATGCTGCTCAAAATAGTAACCACAGAATGTAAGACAATCTAGCCAAGGATTTTTTTCTTTTTTCTTTGGAAGGTAGCCTTTAAGTCAGACCACAGTACTAGTTTCAAATACTCTGTAAAGTGATTGTAACCATGTGATGTAATAAAACCTTGAAAACTATATTTATGAACGTGGTTTATGGAGCCCATCCAGAAACATGTTTTTCTAGGTCGTTTCTAGTGATTTGAGTCACTTCTGCAATATTGCCAACAATAAACTTGCATACAAAGTGCTATACTCTCTGTGAAATGGGTTATTTTTCATGATAAAAATGTGTGCATTTTAAATTTTAATGAGACATGGCCAAATTGCCCTAATAAATACTACTCCAATTGACCCTCCCAACAACACTGTATAAAAGTCTATGCATCCTCATCTTCAACAATCTGAAACATTACCCATTTAAAAGTTTTGCCAATATGATAGACAACATAAAATAATCTCATGTAATTAAGACTTCGCTGGTTACTAATGAGATTTGTTGGTGATTGTTTTTTCTTATGTTTATTAGCCATTTGTGTTTCTTTGAATTGCCTATGTTTGTTTCCCTATTAAATTAGTTGGCTTTTTCCAATTGATTAGTAAGAACTTGCGTGCATTTTTTTTTCCTGGTCTTTTGCCAATCTTGTAAATTTGCCTATGGTGTTTTACTGATAAACATTTGTTTTTTGTGATCTACTCTGTCAGTGTTTTCAACTGTAGGTTTTTGAGAGGGTCTTCTCACCTCCAAATTATACAATTACTATCAACTGTTGTTGTCTTTTT